TGCAACCTGAGAACATGGTTCATCTCATATTATTATTATTTTTACGTTAGTTGGGAAAACTTCAAATACATATCATTTGTTGGAGTCATAATCTATATTCAGTGATTATCTTAATGTCAAAGTATCACACAGGCTTATTGTATGATCAATTGGTTAGTTTCAGTTTCAGGAGTATCGTGAACATTATTGGATTAATTTTGTATCTTTGAGTATTGCTTTTGAATGCTGACGAGAAATATTTTTAAGAAGTTTCAGTTCCTTCAACTAGATTCTGTTCTGTGCTCATGTTCTAGGAAAAGACATTTCTGAACAAGTATTAATAATATCAATGCCCTGGAATTTGTATATGATCAAAAATCAAGTATAATGATCGAAATGCAAAATATTGATCAAGCAGTCATCAATGTTCATTTCAAAAAAAGCGATGCATCCAATTTTATCGCCAGTTGAAGTACTCAAAATTTCAGAGTCTCTATCAGGACGTGAGACTTTTCGTATCGTTCATCCAGGAGCAACATGGAAATCCATTTCGTAGAGTTGCGCTGAGCGCTCTTATCGATGGACGTGCTTCATTCACACAGCCAACGTTGCAATCGACCAGTGTTGATATGTAAGTTATAGTTCAATATTGATACTTTAATATTGACAGTGACATTGAACAACTCATCAATACTGGATCGGAAACTATGTTCGAGTCCGCATCTATTTGCATCCGATTAGAAATTTTAGATAAATGGCGCGTCAAACATTGATGATGCAACGGTATTTAGCATGAGAATAATTGGATTTATCAATTGTGACTAAATGTGATCTGACTTTATTAAATCGTTCATGTGCGACTTTGTTGAATCGAATCGTTTATTAGACGGTAATATATGTNTATCAATTATGACTAAATGTGATCTGACTTTATTAAATCGTTCATGTGCGACTTTGTTGAATCGAATCGTTTATTAGACGGTAATATATGTGACTAAATCAAGACACCTCATTGTCAAAGCAAACACAGGCTGAAATGGAATGTATGTGTACGATAAAGTTCAGAGTTTATGAACATTCCAATTGAATGTGGCACTTTTATAAAGCGGATTCAGTAGTGAAGTTGATCTCACTATCAGACATGAATTATTGTCATATTATACTGTTTGAGTTCGGTTTTTAGTGATGAATGTTCAGAAGGCTCGAAGGGGTCAACAACCAGACGTGCATCATTGTTACTTCCACTCCCTGAAATATTCGTTTCTGAAACCAATTTGGAAGCATCTCATCGCGAACGCTCAGAGTAATCACAATAACGATCTCAGTAGATAGACGCTTACTACTTTTCACTCCTAAGGCTTTCCGGTGGTATTTGATCAATGTTCTGAACATAGTAAAATTATCCCGGAGATTTTCAAACAGATCATTCTCCTTGTTGGCTCACAGAAACAATTCAAAATCTTTGGAGAGCCTCAGAAGTATGTATATGGCTGGATGGATGGCTTTCTCTCCTAATGTCTAGTTTCGATGTTCCATATGATGCACTGGAGTAGATATTCGAATGAAATGTCTCAAGATATAGCACGGCCGTAATAACAGTAATAATAATAATAATAATAATTGCTGGTATTAGTATTTGTCAATATG